CCCCCCCCCCGCGGTCAGCTCCGCCGCATCCCGGGGCCGCCGCCTCCCTCCGCCCGCCCGCCCGGCCAGCGGCAGCCGCGCCGCGCCCCGCCCCCGCCCCCGCCCGCTGTGAGCTCACTCGCCCCGCCCACCCCCTCATTAGCATGCCGCTGCCCCGCCCCCTCGCCTGCATCAGGGCTTCCCCGCCTTCCCCGGAGCAGGGACCTGAAGGTTCCTTTATTTGCATTAGAACGGCCTCACTCTCGATTTGCATGGTGGTGCACCGCCCCTTCATGTGCATACATTTTGCATACCGCCGCCGCCCCAGTTCAGTGGCAGGGAAAGTGGCCGAGCTCGGGCTGCAAGGACTCCCGGGAGCTTTCTTATTTACATAATATAGACACGCCCCCTCATTTCCATAAAACAGCCCCCCCCCCCCGCCTTCCTGAGTAGCAGGGAAGTGGCCGCGCGCGCAGCCCGTCAAGTCCCCGAGTGCCCTTATTTGCGTAACATATGCAGGCCGCGCCCACATCCTCCGCCCCACAGCCCTTCCGGCCAAATAGAGTCCTTCCTCATTAGCATAAAGCCTGCCGGCCGCTGCCTATTGGACAACAGCGGCGCCCTCTTTTGCTTGATACTGCCAGCGGGGTTGTAGCGGCAGGATCGCCGGAATTCCATAATTTGAATAATATATGCGGACCACGCCCACGAAGTTCCGCAGGGGCGCGACGGAATTCCCCTGTATTAGCATAATATATGCCCCGCCCCCTCACTGGATGCCGGCCCCAGAAACCAATAGTTCGATTATTTACACAGGCCACGCCCACAGCTTTATTTACTGCCTATTGGATCATTTGCATAATACGTAAAGGCCACGCCCCAAGAGCCAGCCCAGAACCTTGCCGCAAATAGCCTCGCCTAATTAGCCTCATATATTCTAATATGCTCCTCAGCGTCCTCTGCCCCCTGCTGCCCCCTGGGGAAAACCTGCTCACCCGGGCGTTTCAGCAGCAGGCCACGCCCCTTATTAGCATATCATATGCAAATCTATTATGCAGATATAGTGTACTTAGATCTCCAGAAAGCCTTTGAGGAGGTCCCTCCCCAGCGGCTCTTAAGCAAAGGGAGCTGCCATGGGATAAGGGGGACGCTGCTCTCACAGGTCGGGAACTGGTTAAAAGACAGGGAATGAAGGGTAGGTTTTCAGAATGGGGAGCGATAGATAGTGGGGTTCCCCAGGGGTCTGTACTGGGCCCAGTCCTTCAACCTATTCATAAATGAGCTGGAAAAAGGGGTCAACATTGGGGGGGGGATTTTGCAGCTGATAGAAAACTGCTGACGATAGTTAAGTCCCAGGCAGACTGCGAAGAGCTACAAAGGGATCTCATTAAATGGGGTGACCGGGCAACACAATGGCAGATGCAATTCAGCATTGATCAATGCAAAGTAATGCCCATTGGAAAGCATAATTCCAACTATACATCTACAACGATGGGGTCTAAATGAGCTGTTCCCACTCAAGAGAGAGATCTCGGCGTCACTGCGGAGAGGTCTCTGAAAACATCCACTCAATGTGCAGTGGTGTCAAAAAAGCGAACAGCATGTTGGGAATCATTAAGAAAGGGATAGAGAATAAGACAGAAAATATCATACTGCCTCTATATAAATCCATGGTACGCCCACACCTAGAATACTGTGTGCAGATATGGTCGCCCCATCTCAAAAAAGATCTAGTGGAATTGGAAAAGGTTCAGAAAAGGACAACAAAAATGATTAGGGGTCTGGAACGGCTTCCGTATGAGGAGAGATTAATGAGACTGGGACTTTTCAGCTTGGAAAAGAGACGGCTAAGGGGGGATATGATTGAGGTCTATAAAATCATGACTGGTGTGGAGAAAGTAGTTAAGGAAGTGTTGTTTATTACTTCTCATAACACAAGAACTAGGGGTCACCCAATGAAAGTAACAGGCAGCAGGTTTAAAACAAACCAAAGGAAGTATTTCTTCACACAACACAGAGTCAACCTGTGGAACTCCTTGCCAGAGGGTGTTGTGAAGGCCAAGACTATAACAGGGTTCAAAAGGGAGCTAGATAAATTCATGGGAGACAGGTCCATCAATGGCTATGAGCCAGGATGGGCCGGGATGGTGTCCCTAGCCTCTGTTTGCCAGGAGCTGAGAATGGGCAACAGGATGGATCACTTGATCATTCCCTGTTCTGTTCATTCCCTCTGGGGCACCTGGCACTGGCCGCGGTCGGCAGACAGGACCCTGGGCTGGATGGACCCTTGGTCCGACGCAGTCTGGCCGTTCTCATGTGCTGATGTTACAGCTGGCTCAATAACATAATAAATGCACCTGCCGGTGGAAGAGCAGATTATACAGCCAACTGCCTCTGGTCACCTCATTAGCATAAAATAGTCATGCAAAGCAGTTCATTAGCATAAGACCTCCTGGACCCCACTCAGCCCACACTGAATTGTGCCCAGCCTAAACCTCCCTCAACATGCCATCAGGGTCGGGACCCAGGAGTCCTGGCTCCCAGCCCGCCGCCCTCGCCCAACCAGCCAACCCCACTCCCCTCCTAGAGCCAGGAGAGAGCCCAGGCATCCTGGCTCCCAGCCCCACGCCCACCCCCCTCCTAGAGCCAGGAGAGAGCCCAGGCATCCTGGCTCCCAGCTCCCTCCCCGCGATGCTAATGAAGAGACATTCCCATATGTAAAATAATTTAATCTGGATCATTTTCATATCATCTTTCTTCCTGGTTCAGGGCATGTCACTGCGGGTCCCCCAGGGGGCATTCGTGCACCCCACATGGGACACAGCACCCCCTGCAGGGGAGCTATGCCCTGTCCACAGATCCCTCCCCCCTACTCCCCACATGTGTCCATATGTGCCCCATGGCACAGAGCTGCTCTTCTCCATCTGCTGGAGGGAAAGGCCCCGTGTCCCATCCCGCGCCCCCCTGAGCCAGCCAGTCCCCTGCCCTGGGGCTGCATTGGAGCCACTTCTTTCAGAGGGTCAAACCAGCATCATCGTCAAGGGGTGGCTGTCGCGTTAGGCACTGGGGGGGACAAAAACCCCATTTGGGGTACATCTGTGGGGCCCAGGGCAGAGCATTAGACAGGTCCACCCACCCCACCTCAGATGCCGTCTCCGGTGGTATGGCGAGGCAGCGGTTGTTTCAGACCCTGAGGCAGACACCCCATTTTAGGGGGGCGGGGTCCATTCGTAGGGCAGCGGAGCTCCAGGCCAGCATGAGACGCTGGGGATTGTGATCCCCATTTCTGGGGGTCTCTCTGTGGGGCTCAGGGACAGCAGGGGGCAGCAGACAGTGGGAGGGGCATGAACCCCCCATTCTGGGGTCTCTGTGAAGTTGGGGGCTGCAGGGGGCAGCAGACACTGGGGGCACGAATGCACGTTTCCGGGGTCCCCCCAGCTCTCCTCTGAAGCAGTTGTTCTGCGATTGCCCCCGGCTCTGGAGGGGAGTCCTGCGGGGGTCCGCCCACCCACCCAGCTCAGCTGGGGGACAGGAGCGACTTGAGGGAGGACTGGCTGCTGGGCGCCAGGTTCTCATAGCTGTGACACAGGCAGGTGCAGTCGGATGCAGCCTCGTCGTCGGAGCCAGGGAGCGGACGGGGGTGCCGGGAGCTGTGGCCGGTGCAGATCAGCACCCCCGTGTGCCGATAGGCCACAGCCCAGGCCTCCCCGCCCAGGCACTGGCATCGGCACCGGGGGCCCGCAGCGGAGGAGAAGGAGCCGGGCAGCCCCCCACTCTTCTTCTGCACAAACAGGCAGGTCCTGCGGAGAGAGACCCGGAGCAGGTGGCACAGGTGCTGCAGTGCTGGCGGCTGCCACAAGAGAGCAGTGCATCAAGCACTAGCCCCCACTCCCCTCCCCTCCCAGAGCCGGGAGAGAACCCAGGAGTCCTGGCTCCCAGCCTCCCCTGCTCTAACCACCAGACCCCACTCCCCTCCCAGAGCTGGGGAGAGAACCCAGGAGTCCTGGCTCCCAGCCCCCCGCTCTAACCACTAGACCCCACTCCCCTCCCAGAGCCGGGAGAGAACCCAGGAGTCCTGGCTCCCAGCCCCCCCTGCTCTACCCACCAGTCCCACTCCCCTCCCAGAGCCAGGGAGAGAACCCAGGAGTCCTGGCTCCCAGCCCCCCTGCTCTAACCCATCAGACCCCACTCCCCTCCCAGAACTGGGCAGAGAACCCAGGAGTCCTGGCTCCCAGCCCCCCCACGCTCTAACCCACCATGCCCGTCCCAGGATCTCACCTCTTCCGCAGGTGGTATGAGATGATGAGGAGCATGAGGAGGAAGGCCCCTGAAGCTGTGTACATCATCCAGCCTGGGAGAGAAGGAACAGGTAGAGATTATGTAGGACCTACAAAAATGGCTGACAAAGCACAGTGTTTGTGAGTACGGGCAGTTGAATGCTAGCTGGTGGGGGGAGACCCCTGGCAGGGTATGGAAGTGCAGCAGGGCCGGAATTGGGGTCAGTGGAGGGGAGAGGCCCCGTGTCCCATTCCCCACCCCCCTGAGCCAGCCAGTCCCCGACCCTGGGGCCGGATCGGAGCCAGCGCCCCCTGGAGGGGAGAGGCCCCCGCCCCATTCCCTGCCCCTAGAGCCAGCCAGTCCCCAAAATTGGGGCTGGATCGGAGCCAGCGCCCCCTGGAGGGGAAAGGCGTCCCATTCCCTGCCCCCGGAGCCAGCCAGTCTCCAGCCCTGGGGCGGGAAGGGAGTTGGCGCCCCTGGAGGGGAGAGACCCATGTCCCATTCCCCACCTCCTGCCCCGATGGCCATGTCGTCGGCGCTGCGGGTCCAGCTGGAGTTGACTTGGTCCGTGAAGGCTGGATGCAGCAGGTCACTGGGCAACGTCTGGGAGTCACCCTCCGAGGTCTCCAACACGGGGCCCTTCACCCCTGGACAGAGAGAGTCAGCCGTGAGCCCCCTAGCGCCACCCCGGGGGCCAGCAGTCCCTGCCAGGGGAGAGCGCCTCCTATGGAGCCCCCCTGCCCCACACCCTGCCGCACAGCGCCCCCTAGCGCCCCCTGGGGGCCAGCAGTCCCTGCGAGGGGAGAGCACCTCCTACGGAGCCCCCTGCCCCACACCCTGCCGCACAGCGCCCCCTAGCGCCCCCCGGGGGCCAGCAGTCCCTGCGAGGGGAGAGCACCTCCTACGGCGCCCCCTGCCCCACACCCTGCCGCACAGCGCCCCCTAGCGCCCCCTTGGGGCCAGCAGTCCCTGCGAGGGGAGAGCGCCTCCTACGGAGCCCCCCTGCCCCACACCCTGCCGCACAGCACCCCCTAGCGCCCC